GTTTTATGTAACAGAGCGATCGTTAACGTGGAGGGAGATTTATGATATTGCTGTGATGTACCGTCGCCTCGTGGACCCAGAACAGGCGGTGCTGTGGCTTGATGCCATGCCTGATCATACTGCTGATGGCTACAGGACAGATATCAGCTTTATCAGGTAACAGACTCACTTGTTTAAGGTAGAGAGTCCCAGTGTTCTGTGCACCTGTTGTATCTCCAACAAAGGAGAGTTCCAGTATTCGCTGCGATTTTTTCCTACTTGGAGTTGCTTGTACATTTACAGTTGAGAAGAATTATATGCAAAAGAAATGTATTTTTTATAATCCACTTTTTTCACACGAGGATTACTTTTCTGTAACATCACTTGGAATAATTTCAAAATGATTCAACTCCCTAAAAAAGGGCTGAAGCATTTTATTGTTTTGTATTATTTAGAGGAAATAGCATAAATTTTGCAGAAAAATAACTTTTCAATTCCTGTATGTAGTGGAAAATTTATGCAGAATGACTGTACATTTGATTAAAATTCAGTGTTAAGTTCACATTATGTATGTGTCATATGCTTCCTCATTAAATAGATCAGCCATTTTCCTGCAGTGGTATATTACATTACCACCATTGTGATGTCAAATAGCAAGTATGTAAGTAGGATTGCTAATTCAGTGGCATTCTGTTGATTTTGACTATGATTATCGGGAAAAACTTCACAGTTTTCTGGACATTTTTATTCTGTTACTTTTAAATACTATTGCATGATTCCACCATGTTGAGGTAATTTTTTCTTTTTTTCTTTCAGGGGCTCGGTTTATAATATAAAAGTGTTGCAGTACTTTGAACTAGTGTTTAAGTTAGGGAAGACAATGCTGGAACACTTCTCTGGGTATGTAGTTCATAAGTTGGTACAAAGTAATGTATTTTATGTTTTTTTGAATTTTGTTTTATTTATTTACTGTTTTGAAATACTGTCTAGCTTTATAATCATTCTATAGTCAGACATTACAGTTAATATTGTGACCATTTTATATTGATTTTGCTTGTGTTTGTCTTTGACAGGGACGGAGCAGTAACATATTCTGGCTTAAAAGAAGACGTTGAAAAAGCTAAAACGTGTGAAGATTTACTAGATATAGCTAAAGTAAGTATCAATGAACTACATTGTCATTACTTATA